TCAGCAAAAACGACAAAGATCTGTTCTGTTCAGACTCTGGCAAAGATTTCTGAGGGGCAGTCGTGGGTTGTGTTACCATAGGAACATGACACATAACATGGAAGTCTAAGGGCAATAAAGATTTGTGTGCATTGGAGTAATGTGTACATGTTATCCGTTGTGCAGCAGACACATCTATTTGTCTGCCTGGGCTTTGTTGGTGAGCCCTTGTCAAAGTTGAGCCACTGAGTCATACCTATGAAATGTGGGGCACCTTTAGAGCGTAAGGGCCCGGACAAGGCAGTAACTGTTGCATCACAGATATGCGGGACAGTTTGCTAGAATTTAGGTGGAACTAGGCAGTGCACAAAAGAAGAATCTGTTCTTTGAATTTTGACTAAATGATTGCCAAAGCAAACACACACCCGCATAAGTCAGGAAGGCGGATGTGAGCGAGTGGTACAGGGGTTAAGAAACAACTCCAGTCTTTAAAATTATAATGTTGACAGCATTTACAACAGTTTAATTTATTCAAGAGCATCATGACAGTTGACTGTGATAACGTGCTCGTAGAAAGTATGTGAAAATAGCAGGTATTAATCTGGGATTTTATCCTATTTGTGCCTTTATGTCATCAATCAAAGAGTTCACTGTTTGAAGGAAGGACACAACGTGTTATCAATCAACTGTGTCTTGTGTATAAAGGTTTGGTTTGTTCCAAAAAGTGGTATCAGTACTATCTAACGGGATAAGATGTGATGACTGCAGCTGCACTAAGAGCCACAGCAGGGTGGGTGGACATTAAGACGTTAAGAAAAGTTTTAAAGATAGGCGTGTGGTGAGTCAGTTTCCATGTCAGCTGTTTGTCTGTCAGCAGTCCCACAAGACAAAATCAGGCTGATTGATGCAATTCAGTCTGTGTCAGGAGCTGCGATGAAACATGGCCATGCATGACTTTGTGTGATTGTGAAAGACGAGGTGAAAGTAACACTGGAATGTCGTGAGGATTTTGGTTTTTTTTTTCAGCTACAACTTACCAGTAAGTCTGTGAATGTGAACTGAAGTCTTCTAACTTGGTCATTAGCCAGTTGGCCAACATTTGCTCAACCTTACTCGCATTTGCATGAACTTGTCAGTTTAATTTAGAAGTGCGCTCATGCTCAGACCTGCAAA